TTCAAATATCGTGTAATCAGGATTCGATTCTCGGCGACAAATGAAATCGCCACGGAGAGCTCTTAGTGAATATACTTCGTTTTACTTATTAATTCCATTATATTTCGTGATCCGATTGACCAAATAATTTTTAGAATAGACTGATTAGGATTGAAAGTTCTCTTTCTTCTCATTTTTAGTGCAAGCCCAGTACTCATGTCGTTTAAAACGATAAATATAAATATTTTATAACTAGCGGTGAAGAAAAAAACTCTTGAAATTTTCAAGAAGGGGTTTTCTCTTTATTTCTCTTTATATGTTCTGTTTTTAATAAGGAGTTGGAGAACTTGACTTTGTCCGTCTTCGAAGATGCTTTTTACTCTTTTCCCCCTCGAGCCGTTCATTTTCTCAGGGGCTCTTTTAATCCATCATCGAAACCTGCCCTTAACGTGAACCACCCGCCCTTTTCTTGAGAAAAAAACACTACAGTAAAGCCATTTACGGAGGTTTGTGGGTTGACGCTCCTTCCCTTTGCGGTAATGGGTGAACCCTGTAGCCGGTCTCACAAAGGCGGCCATTACAAGGCCTACATAACCCTAAACTCATTAGGACGGTTAAATTGCCCTCGAAACTTCTATACACACTGTTTCCTTACAGGCTCACGTCCAACAATAACACCCACTTCCGGCGAAATCTTATTAGACTGACTTGTGGACGATCTTTGATAAATTGTTTACTTTCAAATGGGTACGAAATTCTACTTTAGAAAATGTAATGTTAGTTTTCTTGTTGTTTTGCTATTACGTGTCAATAAAATTGTTTATCAATTAACTGGCTAAATCAGACATGAAAACAAGTCGTTATTGACGGTAGAACTGTAACACCGAATAACCTCCTAGGTGATTTTCTGTTTGCCTTTATTTTGTACAATTATTTTTATCGTTGGAACGTTTCCAATCACTCTAATAGCAAGTGACTCGTTTTGTCTTTTGAAATGTTTTGTTCCATCTTAGGGCTTTTTCTGTGTTATTTTGTCAGGCGAATCTCTTTTATACGTTTATAACTAAGTGGTTTTGTTCTGTTTTCGACTTGTGGTCCCTTCTGTTATTTTGTTCAACTTTGTTAATTTAAGTTTATAAACATTTATTCATTCACTTGGCATGTTATATGTACAAACATATTATTGTATTGAATAAGTTTTGTCCATATTTAACTTATTATTTAGCATTTTCCTTTTTGACGTCTAGGAACAATTTGTCTAAAATTTTGTTACCTTTTTTATTTTCTTTCGTGCGCTTCGTATTCATGGCTAATTTAAAAACTTTTTATTGATATCTTTCAATTGATTAAGGTTTTTAATTGAGATAAAAAAGTCACTGTCACGAGCGGGATTCGAACCCACGATCTTCGGCTAGATACGGCCGCTGCTTTACCACTTGAGCTGTTGTGACCTAGATCCATTCGGACACTAACTTCCCATCTCAACCCCACCTTTTGAATTATCACTCCTTTTTGCCATTTTTCAAATGTCGTGTAATCTATTTGATTCTCGGCGACAAATGAAATGGCCAGGCAGAGCTTTAGTGAAGGCATACTTCATTTTAACTTATTAAATTCACTAGTTTTCGTGGTCCGCTTGTCCAATTAATATCTTTCCATTAGTGAGAGCATTAGTGAAGTATACTTCATTTTGCTTATTACATTTATTAGGTTTCGTAGTCAGCTTGACCAAATAAATTCTTTTCAACTAATTAATCTTTAATTAAGGTTTTGATTGAGATAAAAAGTCAGTGTCACAAGGTGGGGTTAAGATGGGAAGTTGGTGTCCGAGTTGATCGAAGTCACGATAGCTCAAGTGGTAGAGCAGTGGCGTATTTAGCCGAAGGTCGTGGGTTCGAACCCCGCTTGTGACACTGACGTTTTTATCTCAACCAACACCTTAATTAAAGATTAATAAATTGAAAATAATTTATTTTGTCAAGAGGACCACGAAACCTAACAAATGTTTTTAATAATTCCATTCCAAATCCCTTAGATACATGCTACTTACTATGCCTCAAATAATACGCTCGACAACGACCTTAAAATCCAATTAATTCAAAACTTAATTCCCCAAACAATACAAAGTTCCACAACAATTTGAGCCATCACTCCAATCCTCTTTCCCTAGTCTTGTCCAACAGAACACAACCGTCTTATGCCCTAGACGTCTCAAGAAAAAATGGCCCAACGACCTCCTTTCTGATGAGTAGGCAGGAAAGTTTATTTAATGAAGTAAAGTGGGAGACTAATATTTATCATTTGCTCGCCTAAATGTAAGTATGTAAATACATAATTGTAAATATTCCTATGCATCATCAATTTAAATATTGTAACCAAAAATTGCAGATTGTAATAAAATATTAAAATTTCAATATAAAAAACGTTTAATAGATAGTTTTTGTTTGATATATTTTTCAGTAGTAATTATTATTAATTTAATCATGTTCAACAAAGGTCACAGAACAGACAAAACTATAAGATGTCTCCGTGCGGAGTTATAGTTACCGTTTAATTTGATATATGTCGTCTCGCCGATTTGGTCTCTAAGGGGCGTTTTGACATTTCATCATCATCATCAGAAGATATCTTAGTGGTGCCTTGCCTCTCCCTGCGTGTGGCCCTGACCCACCGCTAAAGGTTAATTACCAAATTTATAAGATGACAACTATAATTTAAACATTATTTTGTGTGTATACGAATTGAAGAGAATTGTAGATGTTGCATAAACGAAATAAAAGGAAATAAATATGTGGAAAAATAATTGATTTGTTGCTAATAGAAATGATAAATGGTGTAGTGAGTATGTTGTCTAATTTTTTTAAAAAGAGAGTTTCTCCTCACAGTTTGCTGTTTTCAACGTACGGATTTCAAGTTTATAGCTCATCATCAGGTTGAAATCTGGATCCTTGAAAACAACAAACTAGGTAGGAACTATCTTTTTATAAAGATTGTTTGTTTTGTTTAATACAGATTTTAATACTTTAACATTTATTTGTTTAATATAATTTGATTATTCAATAGTAATGGATAATGTTGAGTGATACAAATAGAAAAAATTGTGAAGTACCTATTGTTAAAACTATTTTAGTCAGACAATAATTGTTAATTAAATAATCAATTAATTCTACGATTCTTACTCTTATTGGTACAAATTTATTGTTTTTATTAATAAATGCTCTAAACTTCGAATTTAATACGTTAGTGATTACAAAAGTTTTTGCCAAACTTTTTAACTGAAAAGTGATCAATCAGCAGTATTCTTATTTTTGTCTATCAATAACAGAAGGCAACAACTAAACCAAACGTCTCGCATTGATATTATATCTGCTGTTATTCACAGTTCTACAAATTGAGCAAAGTTTCATTAATGGTTCAGTTGACGGGGGATCTCAAATCCGAGTTTGAAAGTTTACTCAAGACGGTTTAATTACTGCGACCACCACTGTCCTCAACAATTCCAGATTCTCTGATATAATCTGAAATACATAAGTTCGAGGCGGTAAATCAAATATAATAATCTTTAAATTGTTAATATTGTACAAACTGTGTTTGTTTCTCTAATAAAACACCCTAACCGTATGAAAGTATAATATAATCGTTCCATCATTTTTTCAATCCATTCTTGATTAACGACCTTTTAAGCACCCATCCCCTTTCCAGTTGATCACTCTGGAAAATTAAATTATAAAAGAACGGAAGAAAGGGGCAAGCAGTACCTCTTTTCCGATATCGGAAAGTGTTTAAGGCAAACTGGTTGATCTGATGAAACGGTTGGAAGTTTGACAAGAATCGTCTTAACGTTACTTTATTATCAGGTCGTCCGAGTACTTCGTCCCTCAGTACCTCATTCCCTAAAGAGGTCAGTTGCTTCCGAGGCAATTTCTCGAACCTCACCCAACTTTCCTACCCCATCAAAACATCTTGCTGGTTAATTAACCCCTTTTGATAAACTCAAGCCGACCTCTTTGCAGTTCTCTACAAAAGATATTTTGTAAAATATAATATATATTACAAACTACTTTAATTAATATTTTCTTTTATATATCGATGCTTTTATAAATCTAACCTAAACCTCATTCCGCTTCCTAAAGAAGATCTCTAAACGGATTAATCCGTCCAATTTGATTTAAATGGGAGTTTTGCACAACAAAAACAGTCCTGAATAAATTCCAAATAATAAAACACACTTGAACGCGTAACTTTAATCTGAAGTTATTCACAACGTGTGTGTTGTTGCTTTCTATGGCTACAACCTCGGACGCATAAAGCTCAACGGCCACGTCGTTGAATTGCTTATTGTTCGAAATCCTAGGGTAGAAAATTGCTTTGAAGTTTTGAGATATTTGCCAGTCGATCGATCAAAAAGTGAAGAAGAGTATGAAAAGGAATTTAATGTGGAGTTGTAACTTCGAGAAGTTTAGCCGAGTGGTCTCCTCTTGGTTGAACTCTTCCCAACAGTTTAATCATTTCATTCCTCGAAGGCATGTTGTTCGACGAACCAAGTGATGTATTCGTCTAAAAAACATTTTAACATTTTTTAAACAAATATACCTTAACATATTCCTGTTTAAACTTTATATTTCTCGTTGAAAAACATGTAATAACATGTAATATAAATATTAATTCAGATCTTTAAAAAAAATATTAAACGTGCTTTAAAATGTAATTGAGGATTTATTTATTACTTTTGTTGTGCTATTTATTAATATATTTATAATATTGATTTTTGTTAAAAGTGTAAGCGCTTCTTTGCTGTTATTTTTACTGCTATTATTTTTATATCCTTTTTTAGTATTTTATATCATAATGATTGTTTTGTTGTGTTGCTTGACTGTCCTATGCTTGGGTAGCTAACCTGTTTGGACTGTAAATAAATTTTTTAAAAAAATTAATAAAAAATATTGAAAAACTACATTCTTTCCAAAATGAAACTAATGTTTCAGGACGTAATCTAATAATTAATTTTGTTATTTGTTTAGATCTATTAAGTGAATGTTTTCGTAAGACTGATGGATAATAATGTAAGTATTGATTTTATCGCACAACCAAGACAAATACACATATATAAATAGAAATAACAAAACTACAGTTTATCTTTAAAGTATTTGATGATGTGGAATAGTCAAATAGTTTTTTGCCTGTTTTTCCTCTATTTGTACATTGTTTAAACGGAAATTATTATAATTTTTATTCATAGTCATTGCGACGATAACAATACCGTAATGTGACCAGCATAATATAAAGAATACCAATAGAAATTTGATATATTTATATTTATAAAATGTTTTTTTTTGGATTTAAATAAGCTACAATCTGCACATGTATGTATATATACACACATATGCGAAGTTGAGACTATTACTTCTCGAAGTCCATGGACAATTCGAGCTTTTTGTAACTTACGATAAATTACCAGCAGGTCCCGAGAATCACTCACCCCGCGTATTGGCATTCCGGGGTCAGACCTCGGTCTTATCCAGTCACCAAGGTTGGACTCCAGGGGCTATCAATATCTTTTCAGACCGTACGCAATCATTTCCTAAACCAAACCCATTCACACGCTCACTCGTTCTTAAATACATTTTTTATTATTTCCTCCTATTCTTTCAGTTAGTGGATCACTCGATATTCGTCCTAATTGACAGCCATTCCCCCTCTCACACAACACATTCTCGCTAATAAATACATTCACTCATAACAGGAGGTACAAAACTTTCATTTCCAAACACATTCACACTCAAACTCATTCTTAAGTAAATTTTCTCCTATTTATATATCATTGATTCAATTAGGGTGGTGGAGTAATCAATATTTCTCCATCACCCTTCACAAATATTATACAATTAACCTAATTGAGGGTCGGATGGGTACATCAACCCTCTAGTACTACACATTCACGCCAATATATACATCTACTCTCAACACACACACCAAGGGCACAAAACTATCAACACTATATACAAAAGACCAATCACATATTACATAACTAACCTAATTGAGATCCGATGAGTTTTTCAATATTCTGTCATCGCCCCTCTCACTCTGCACATTCACACCAAACAAATGAATTGACTCTCAAGAGACACTAGGTACACAAAACTATATACAATAAAACAACCCCGTTTCCTCCATGAATGGAAACAGGGGACTCAGATACTCGATGCCATGCTCAAACGCAATTCCCATATCGGGTGGAATTCCTACGCGCTCGCTATGGGGACACATCGAGCATGCCTCTGCTGGACACATACAACGTACAACGTTCCAAACGTAAGTAATCGTGTGTCAACCTCGCATGGAATCGAGTGAGGAGACACTCTCTCAGATCCGAGGGCCACCTATCGACCGTGTTCTTGATAAGCGGGAGCTTCTCTACCGATGTTGCCAATTTTTATCATGTTTTTTTATTGCATTTTTAGCGTCCGAGTGCCGGAATGCGGTGGTCAAGTCTTGAGGTTGGGACGTCCCAGCCTTAGCCGCCTCATATCAAATTTAAAAAAGAAATTAAACTGTATATTTGTTTATTTAAATTTTCTTGGTTCTGTTGAACAGTCATAATAATAAATAGGTTGTTTTTATTTAACTATTACTTTCGATCTTGTAATAGCATGTTCAATATATTTGATATCTCATTGATAATGTAATCGGTAGATAAAAATTGGGCCAATGCTTTACAATATATCCTGTATCGTTTATGCTTAAATCTGAAATTATTTGTTTATTTTAAAAAGATATATACACATTTTTTAGTTTACTCTTAAACTATTCATAATTTTGTCGTAAGAGAAATAGTATAAAATAGCATTTGTCTGCGTACTAGTGCACTGTTTACTATGTTTAAAAATGTAGCATTTCTTACAAAAATTCTCTAAATGTACAAAGGAAACTGCTCTTAGGGGAAAGCTTTCTGTTATAAAGTGAAAGACTTTTTTAGAGACGTGAATTGCATAGCGAGCAGGTCCAAGAAGTCCCTTGCATCCAAATGGTTGAATTTGGCTGCAACATTTCTCATCTTATATACACTGATGGACAAAATAAACGCACCACCCTTAAATTTTACTGTATTTTGGTTTATTCATATTTTCCATACTAAAAATAGGTTTGGTTGTAAAAATAAGACATATAAAAAGAAAAGGTTTATTAACTAATCCTATAAAAGGAATTCTTGCGTAACGAAAACAATAAATTAATAAAAATGAAAAAAAAAATATTTTGACTCCTTTAATACCGAGCATTTTCAACTCTGATACGAATCATGTCTGTTAAACGCCTATAAAATCCTGAGGAATTCTTTCCCATTCAACAACAAACTGTCCAACTGTTCTAAGGTGTTAGGACCAGGGATTCTCCGTCGTACTCGTCACTTGCGTTGGTCCCAAATGGGTTCGATTGGGTTCAAATCTGGACTTCAAGCTGGCCACACCAAGAACTCAATTCCAACCTCATTCCTGTCTTGTAAGTACGTCTGTGAAGTTAGAGATCTTTCTCGCACAACAACCAATTCTGTACGGGCGTCCGAGGAAATGCAACCCCAGAACATCAATGACACACCATGGAAGCTACCTGAGGAACCATAAATCATAGGTCGTAAATTTCTCCTGTCTCCGTACGAAATTACTCCTAACTGAAGATTTAACGCCAACTCTCACCTCATCTGTAAAGAGAATTGGTCCCCAACCTTCCAATGTCCAATTCACATGTTCCCGTGACTAGCCATTTGTTTAAGCTGTAGTAAGAAGAGGTTAATGCCGGGCCCTGAGGTTATATTCATTGAGCCTTCTTCATACAGTCCTGGAGGAAATCGAAACATTACTGTATCAGATTTCTTATCTCAATTATCACAATGGTACAGTTTCGTAGAGCCTGATGGCGATGAATCTATCGTCTATCTAGTCTGTAAACCTAGGTCGACCCGTCTTGAATTTCTAGTGTGAAGCACCAAAGTACCCTTCCTATTGTAGAGTGGTTTACACTCAGTCTCCTGGCAACTTGTAACTAACTGTATCCTCTCTCTAATAATATTATGATCCTAATACTTGTCATACTCACTCAAATGCCAGACTGGAAACATCGAAAAAGGTATAAGAATAAGAATAGTATCAATTGAAATCAACGAAGGAAAAAGATTAAAAAGAAAGATACAGATTAATTATCTCATCTTAGATATTTAATCACCAAGGAAGGTACTGCTGACAAAAATTGAATTCAAAAATTAAAGAGATCAGTTTTGAAAAAATGTAAATAAGGTAACTGTATTCTTTAAAAATTAACAGTAGTTTAAACATTCGAAAGTCGCATAAACTAGCGTTAGATCACAAGGAATATATTTATGGCTCATAATTGCAAAATGTGGTTTATGGTCAGCCCGTAAATTTTGAGGGCGAAGTGTGCTACTAGCTTTGCCGATATGGCCGCGACCTAATTGCCCGTTTTGGCTGAAACCCTCGATGTATCACGGCCAGTGACGCGGAATACAAATAGTGTAGTTGCACAAGGTCTTTTTGCCCAACCCCCGGCACCCGTTATTTCTTATTAAGGCCGGCCCTTTTCAGTGCAAAACGTCCTTTTCTCCACCTGATACGATAATTCTCAATCCGTTTCGAGATGGAATATTAAAACACTTATTCAACAAACTCGTGTAACAAAGGTTCGGGACTAAGTGGTCATTAATGTTTTAAAGCTGCATTTCTTATTATACGGGAATAATATTATAAAAGTCAATGTTAAGGCCGGTTAATTTTTATTTTGCAAAATATTTGGTTTTGATAATTAGAAAATCGCTACACAAGGATGTAGACTTCTCCCTCACGTCTTATTTTCATTAATACCACTGTTTTAAAACATTTGTTTAGTAAAAAAACAAATAATAAATGGAAAAAAACAAATTAAACCAGAAAAGTAAAGATTTGCCTCGGGAACATTTTTGTTTTAACTTGGAACAATGTAGATTTTTTTCAACTCTTCATTTTAGAACACAAACTGTTATTGTTCCTCTTAACTTTTACCACCAAAAACCCGAGTTCATTTTTATTTTTCAAAGAATAGGTTTGTTTTTTATATTTCCCAAAGCAAACAGTGCTTTTATTTTATTTTATTAAGAATCGTTTCTTTAAGGTTTTGAACAGAAGATAATTCCGCGCGTAAAACGAATTTTTACACACGGCTAAACATTTTCTGATTAACAAAACAAAGGATTTCAGCTTCAAAAGTACGGCATAGGGTTCATCTGTAAACCGGACATTGATCCCCTTCATTCCACTAACTTTTTCCTATCGAAAAACAAAATGAAATATTCTCCCCAAAGGAGGATGAGTTTATCTGATTAACCTTTTTCAGCTTTATTATTCGAAAAAATATTAAATGTTCGATAAATTGTATGGCAACGTAAAAAATATATAATATAATGATACCGATTTAAATATATTCACACTATATAATATGTATAGTAATAATAATAATAATAATAATAATATGTAATGTGTATAATATGTAATGTATAATAATAATAATAATATTTCGAGTGATTTAAAGGAGTTACTAGGTCTCCAGTGTTTCTTTTGAAGAGCAATTTTCAGCTTTCTTAAATTGATTGAAATTTATAATGAGATTTAGGCATTTCCTTAAATTCTTATACATTTGAATGTTTGTCTGCTATTGTTTGAATGAGAGTTTTGCATGCAATAGTTCTTTCTTTTTTCCGGAATATGTGAGGCTGCCGGAGGGTAAAAATGAAATAAAAGAAAATAGAGGGGGTAATTAACTACAAAGCACAAAATTGCAATTTAAATAAGGAAAGATAGCTCCCTCCAAAAGAAGAAGATTAAGAAAAAGAAGTGTTATTACTTTCTTATTATTGTTTAGTAGAATTTTTCTTTATAGTATTTGAATGGAAGTATAAAATGATAACGATGAGCCTATACTCATGCTAAGACTGTTGATAGTCTGACTCCATTATTATTATTATTATTATTGGCAATACAAGCTCATGTGAAATGTTTAAATTATAAAACAAAAATTCAAA